ACCCTAACCCCCCCAAACCTAACCCTAACCCTAACCCTAACGCTAAACGTAACCCTAACGCTCTAAACCTAACCCTAACCCTAACCCTTACCTTTATGTGAATCGGCTTGCTTTAATTTTATTTTTATTTCAATTTTTAATTTTTTTCGTCGCGCTGTGATGACGTCAAATGCGCGCTTTCGTCGAGCGCGATTTTGTCCTCCGCGGTTTTGACGGGTCACGCCTTCAAACAGGTGAAATAATTAAAACAATGTTTAGGTTGGTTGAGTTTAGCTGGGACTCTACTTTAGGAACCTGTTTTCTCATAAAATGATTTTGTTCCCATCTTTATCTGAACGTAAGTTAAAGATATGACACTGTCTTGGAAAATCACGTCCTGTTTCAGGTTTGGATATCTGGGAAAAAAAATCACATCAGGACTTTCTAACATGCTGAGATCATGTTTGGAGGTTCTCTGAATTGGGGTGTGTCAGCGGGAGGCATAACTTTCTCAGAAGTGATTCTGTGGGAAGTTTTCCCCACAAAGTCTCACCTGGCCCTTTTTCTGATATTTTATTTTCCCAGATGTTTAAGTAACTTTAAATGCACGTTATCCATACCCTGCCTGACTATTCCCACTCTCCAGGTTTTATGACTTCGGTAAGGAATATAGTGTTCTTCATTTCTCTCCGTGATCTTATGTTTAGGAAAGAAAGTTGTGTAAGCTGTTTTGAATAAACAAATACATCTGTGGAACTGTGCAAGTGTTTAGCCATGCAATTAGAAAATAATATAAGGAGGCTATGGTGAAAATTCTTGGATATGTTATTTTTAAGAATCGATTTGCTTTGCTTCACGTGGCGTGTTTGTTTTGGCTGAACATTTGCACAATGTGGAAAGTCACACAAGATTAGGATATGTTGTCCTAAAGATGTTCCCATTTATCACGAACACATCACCTCTAGGGCAACTGAAACTGGCATTCCCACCAGATAAATCTAGCATGGCTTTAATTCAATGTCCCCAAAACATTTTCTTACACATTTACATTAAACTGGCCTGATGAAAGTTTAAACAAATTTAGAGTTTTGTCCCTTGTAATTTTGGTCATTGAGCTGATCCTTATTATGGTTCATTGCACAGTCATCAAGATGTTGGACTTGGCATTTTTATCCACTGTCCAAGGACTACTATTATCAAATTTATTTGCTACCCATCTCATGGTTTAAGGCAGTGTTTCTCAACCTTGGCAACTTTAAGTCCTGTGGACTTCAACTCGCAGAGCTGGCTGGGGAATTCTGGGAGTTGAAGTCCACAGGACTTAAAGTCGCCAAGGTTGAGAAACACTGGTTTAAGGCGACTGAGCAAATGTTGGGTAACTTTCTGAGCCAGAATGGTTTTTCCCCCATTATAGCTTGATAATGATACTTGAAACTGTTGGAAGAAATGTCCATCTGGGTTCAGTTCCAAATAGGGAGAAAGACACCGGAAACATGGAAGCTGTTTGGGAAGATGATTTAATGGTGGACAGGATCACATGCATCCTGGGTGAAAAGGGAAGAGATACTAAGAGTCCCCAGGTTTTGTGCCCTCTCTGGGCTTTCAACTTCCTGGGGCACAGGAAGTGTATCCTGATTGGTTACTGTCAGAGGTCATAGCAAGCTTTGTAGGTTGTGTCCTAAGTTTGGTTGAAACTTGGTGGGTGGTGCAATGAAGGCCAATGAAATGGCTCTGCCCCTTCAGGGTAGATCTTTGTTATGTAGAATAGACTGGCTCAGGCCTGACTTAATGGCCCATTGACGGGGGGGGGGGCAGGAAACTGCAGGGAGCTACTTAGTCTTTAAAAACATGTTTCTCCCTTTTCTCATCCAGGGAAATATAATATTCTGCCTTTTTAATATTTCCCTAGGATATTTCATTTTTCTAGGAGAGGGATGGGTGCTAACTTCCTTCAAAACCAATCTTTGTAATTAATAAATCACAGCTCATGTCTTAAAACTGTACCAGACCATGATGGTTTACTTAATCCACAATGTAAGGAAACCATGGTTCAACAAATTGCATAAACCCAGCCGCTGACATCATTAGAATTTTTAAAAGATGAACAAGCCGCCTGGAAGACATGGTGAAACCATTGCTTTAGGGAGTGCCAGACAAATGATCAAAGTTGGTGTTTGAAAAATGCAAGAAGCATTTTTGGAAACACCTTTAGCAAAAAAGGTCCTCAGGCGTTTGGGATTGGATGGGATGGCTAGGAATTACCGAACCGCAATCAGAATTCAGGTGCTTGGCAACCAATACATGTTTACAGTGGCTGTGGCGTAGGAAGTTAGCACCCACCCCTCCCTCTCTTAGAAAAATGAAATATTTTAGGAAATATTAAATTATATTTCCCTGGATCAGAAATGGAGAAGCATATTTTTAGGTAGGAAACAGACTCACTCTTAATAGCCCCCACCTTTGACAATGGGCCATTAAAATGCCTAAGCCAATCTATTCTACATAACAAAGATCTCTCCCCTTTAGCTCCAGGGTGATGGGATTAAGGCATGATAGTGTTAGCCCTTTACCCATCTCACCACAAGGACACATGGGAAGAAGCAATGCTCAACCAAACTTGGACTCAAANAACTTTAAATGGTCACTAAAGGAACTGTTGTAAGTCGAGGACAAAGAGAAGCAAAACAATTAGAAGGCTTCTTCCAAAACATGCCCGTTTTGTGGATCCTTTGCCTTGCTCTCACACCCTTTCCCTCCCCCCCCTCCCGCCACAACATCCCTCCCCAATGGCGCTGTTAAGTGACAGGCGTGTGCACATTCCTTTCTGCCCCACCCCCAACCTGTGGCTGCTACTGCCAAAAAATAAATAAATCAGATTTCACGCGGCACTCTGCGCAGGAGACCTCGTGGAGCATTCAAAAGAACAACTTCCAACTTCTTGCCTGTGGGCCAGGGCTGCGTTCCCACGACTGACCAGCAACTAGCCAATCAGATTTAGCATGCGGTCTGCGCAGAGCCCCTTTGCGGATCTGGACACCGTGAGAACGGAGCAGCAAACGAACCCTGCCCGGCGAAGACTTACCGGGATGTGAACGCGCAGCGTGCGTTTCTTCTGGCCAGCGTCCTTCTTCTTACCAGACGAGGCATCCTTCTTCTTGGCGTCCATGGCCTTACTTCCCATCGCAGGGATGCGAACAGAGGCTGCCCACCAGCTTCCTACGGACAATTCCACCCGCTTGCAAAAGCTCGGGTCCCCGAGTTGGAGCGCCGTGGGGAGGTGAGCAGAGAGCTATCCAAAGACGGAGGAAGTTTACTTGGCCGCTGCTCGGGCTTCGGAGGCCAAGAGATGGGTCAACGGAGATGCCAACGGACGGAGCCTCGGCTCATCACCCGCCAGCTCGAGCCCCGGATGCCCCTGCGGGGTCAACCCGATCCCACTGGCGGGACACCGAGGTTGCTGCAGAGTCAGAATCCGCCACAATTCCCCGGACTAAAGTTTCCAAGCAGGCATCCTCCTGGAGACCCCGCGCGCTCGGGGAAAGAGCCAGAAAGAGCCCCGTGCAAAAGGGGGGGTGCAAAGAGGGCGTGCAAACGCAGCCCGAGCCCCCCGCAGGGCTGGGCTGCAGATCACGTCCCCCCCCCTTCTTGTTCTTCTTCTTCTTTGGCGGGCGTGGGGCAAGCAAGGGCGTTGCAACCCTCCTTGAGAGGTCGCCGGATTCCCGGGCTAGCGGCTGCAGCTGGTAGGCAGAGGCGAGAGGGAGCGCGGAGACGCTCGGCGACTGCACCAGCCTCTTTCGGGCGTGCAAGAGGCGAATCTGACAGCGGCCGCGGCACAAACAAGAGGAAAAGAAGCGAGGGGGAAAGCGAGGAAACCCTGCCCAGAGAGGGAGGTGCAAACCTGTGTGTGTAAATATATTTCTAGCCGCCGAGGAGGCGGAGAGGCAGCTAACAGGAAGTGCACGCTCATAAAAGGCAACTTTCTCCCGGCCAGCCCTGGCACAATGCGCGCACACGCCCCTCGGCGCCTTCCGCGCCTCTCCCCTTGGCCAAGGCCGCCGGAGACCTCCGCCGAGCAGCCTCTTGAAGGACGCCCTTCGGCTGCTGCGGTGCCCGGTCTCCCGGGTACTCCTCGGCGGTGGCTTGGCCAGATCTGAAAGGAATCCACCGGAGGTGCTGGGCAGGCGGGGTACCCAGCGCTCTCCCCAATTCCTCTGGGGCCCTCTGGACTGGGCAAAGGTGTGTGACCTGCGAGGACGAAGCCACGCGTGTCCCCCCGGGTGGCTGGTTTGGAGCGGGGGAGCGCGCGGCGGAGGGCGCGTCGCCGCCAGACACGCCTGCCCGCTGCGCAGCTGGCACAAAGTCTGCGGGAGGCGCCAGCGGCCAAAGGTGTCGACACTGCAGAGGCCTGAATGCTCCCGCGCGTTTCCTCCCCACGGGTGGATTTTGCGGTTTCTGTGGCTCCCTTGAAAAGAGAGCGCCGCTTTTCCTTTAAACAGATGCTGACAGACCGGCGGCCTTTACCACTTCATTATTGGAGGGAGGTACTGTTTCTTTTGGGCCACTCAAAAACGCTCTTGGTCATTTCAGCCTTGGGACCGCTGCAAGGGGGTTACCCCATTTAAGAGTATTCAGAAGGTAACAGCTAGCACAAAATGCAGCAGAGCAGAAAGTTTTAGGAGACTCTAGGTTGGGCCAGAGGGACTTGGTGGCTCAGTGGCCAAGATGCTGAGCTTGTCAATCAGAAAGGTCGGCAGGCAGTTTGAATCCCTAGCACTGCATAATGGAGTGAGCTCCATTCATTGTCCCAGCTTCTGCCAACCTAGCAGTTCCAAAGCACATAAAAAATGCAAGTAGAAAAATAGGAATCATCTTTGGTGGGAAAGTAACAGCGTTCCATGCGCATTCAGCATTTAGTCATGCCAGCCCCATGACCACAGAGAAGTCTTCGGACAGTGCTGGCTCTTTGGCTTTGAAACGGAGATGAGCACCGCCCCCTAGAGTCAGGAACGACTAGCATGTGTTTAAGGGGAACTTTTACCTAGGGTGCCCCAGGAAAGGCACTTGTCTGAACTGCATTGTCACCAATTTGCTTCTGAGTCCCAATTTCAGATGTCTGCTCTTACAAGATCGCTCCACCCCATTCATTCTGGCAGAAAGGGAATGCTGTGGCCCCCTCCCACAGTCAAGAATTCTGGCTAGCAGAATATCTAGGAGAAAAGACGTTTCTGCCACAACTCCCACCCTCTCTCTGGAACATCATCCCCCTGCCCTCCCAAGATTTGCCCCACCCTCTT